CAAACCCTATACATCCATTAAGTTAAAAGTATCTAAGATACTATGTTTATCAACACTTCACAGTTTATGAGACAATTGATATTTGTTTGTTTGTATTTTTTTTTTTTTCCAATGACGGAGTGTGCACAAGGCATATTTTGTTTGAGTAAACCAATGGATAATTTTCTTTACTGATCAATATAAACGATGACACGTCAGAACTATTTCCTTCACGGGTGAAACACTCCATAGCATAATGCGAGAAAGGAGAGATCGAGGTGACCACAGCGCTGAACCTCCGGAACCCAACCTCCGAACTTGGAAGCAAGATTCGGGAATGACGCGCGGTTCCCAAACCTCCGCGACATTCCCAACCGACATTCCCAAGCCACACCCCAGCAACACCCTCGCATGATTCCCAACCCCTCCAGAAACTGGTACATGCGAAGAACATTCTGGAAACATGATTTCCCCTCCTCCCTGTTTTGCGATCCCCTTGCAGCCTCACCCCTCGTCTTCTGCTCCCATCCCCCGTTGCAGCCTAGCGTCTTGCCTCCCGCTCCCATTCTCCTCTGCAGCCTCACCCCTCCTTTCCTGATCCCATTCCCCTCTGCAGCCTGAACCCTCCTTTTTGAATCGCATTCCCCTTAGCAGCCTCACCCTTGGTTTCCCCATCCCACTCCCCATGCAACCTCACCCTCATGTTTCGTCCTTCCCTGCAGCTAGTCACCCCTTGACTCATGCTCCCACCCCCCTGCAGCCTCACCTGGTCTCAATCCCCCCTGCAGCCTCACCCCTGGTCTCTGGTCTCAATCCCCCCTGCAGCCTCACCCCTGGTATCTGGTCTCAATCCCCCCTGCAGCCTCACCCCTTGTCTCTGGTCTCAATGCCCCCTGCAGCCTCCCCTTGTCTCTGGTCTCAATCCCCCCTGCAGCCTCACCCCTGGTCTCTGGTCTCAATCCCCTCTGCAGCCTCACCCCTTGTCTCTGGTCTCAATCCCCCCTGCAGCCTCACACGTGGTCTCTGGTCTCAATCCCCCCTGCAGCCTCACCCCTGGTCTCTAGTCTCAATCCCCCCTGCAGCCTCACCCCTGGTCTCTGGTCTCAATCCCCCCTGCAGCCTCACCCCTGGTCTCTAGTCTCAATCCCCCCTGCAGCCTCACCCCTGGTCTCTGGTCTCAATCCCTCCTGCAGCCTCACCCCTGGTCTCTGGTCTCAATCCCCCCTGCAGCCTCACCCCTGGTCTCTGGTCTCAATCCCCACTGCAGCCTCACCCTTGGTCTCTGGTCTCAATCCCCCCTGCAGCCTCACCCCTGGTCTCTGGTCTCAATCCCCCCTGCAGCCTCACCTGGTCTCTGGTCTCAATCCCCCCTGCAGCTCACGCCTTGCCTCTCCCACTCCCAGCCGCTCCCCCCTTGTGGATGACGTCAATGACAGAACCAGGCGGCTCGGGAAGGTACGGAAAGGGCAGCGAGCACGTCCTTCAGCAGGGTCAACGGTGGTGCCAAGAGGAGCCGCATGACTGACAACTCCAAAGACGCGGCGTTAGAAGCGAAAAAATGCAGCGGATGAGGCGATCTGCCTCCTCTACGCCGGCCTCAGCATCCCCGAGCAGCACGCCGATCACCCACTTTGGCGCAACGCGGCGCAAGCCATTGCACATGCGGGAAGTAGCTACGTCCCCCCGATAGCCGCCACATCGGTGGCTCCGGATTGCAGCAGTCCCAGGTATTGATCGAGCAGGAACTGTAGCCCGTCGCAGCAAGCTGGAAGCGGCATGGCGTCACCCTCGCGATTGACACGATGACAGACAAGTGTGGCCGGTCGCAAGCCAACGTGTGGCTTGTTAACGAGTCGGGTAGAGTGTTCATGGAAAGCATTGATTGCACTATGGAGGTCGAGATATCCGGCTACATTGCCAGCATGCTACGGCCGATTGTGAAGAAAGTCGGGCCGGAGAACATCCTTGCTCTCTACATGGACGGCGGCTGTAGCTACGCTGACACTTGCCGAGAACTGATTGGCGAGTGGCCGCACGTTGAGTACGTTCCTTCGGCGGTGCATGCGTTGAATCTGCTAATGGAGGACCTTGGGAAGATGGGATGAGCCAAGGGGGTGGTTGACAGACGGATGAGCTTATTGGGTTTCTCCGCAACCACGGCGACACGATTCGCTATTACCTGAGGAGCATAGGACAGCCGGATGGCAAGGTGTTGCAAGTGTTGAGGTCGCGAAACGCAATGTTTGGAGCACAGTACATTGTCGTGTCTAGACTTTGTGAGCTTCGGCCGCAGCTGGCGCGGATGGTGTCGAGCAAAGCATGGAAGGTGTGGGCTATGGGGACGAAGCAGAAGGCAGAGGCAGAGGAATTCGCTGCGTTTATCACAGACTCGACGTGGTGGAAGGCTGCTGAGTTGTTTGTGAAGCTGATGAAGCTGGTGTTTGTGGTGATGTAGGAGACGGATTCGAGCGCCAGGTCAATGATGTGTTGGATGTATGACATGATGCGGCAATTGATAGAAGATGTGGATGTGGTACTGAAGGGAGATGGGGAGTTGTTGAGTGAAGAGGAGAAGGATGGAATTTCGAGGCTTGTGAAGGAGAGGCGGCACGGGAGCTTTGCATGTACTTTGCATGAGGTGGGCCAAATCCTCAATCCGACCAACCAGGACCGTGAGATTTTCGGTAGGGACTCGGAGATATCAAGGGATTTCAAGGCCTACATTGACAGCCACTGCAAATTCCTTGCGCGAAACTGGAAAGTTTCGGCCCTGTATATTTCACTCCGCTCGTGAAGGAAGTTCTTATTCGGCCCTGGTGGATGGTTTTTTTGCTTTCGAGGATTCGATACATGGTAGATTTCACTCGTGTGACGCACGGGATGAGTGGGACGCGGTGAAGGAAGGGAAGCTTAGCATCAGGGCCCAAAATGTCAACGTATTTTACCCTGATTGCCCTGACTGGCAGCCGCTTTTTTTTTTGTTTACTCTGACGCAGTCAGCCTCCCAGGCTTTGTGCCTCGACTCTAAAAGTGTTTGTTTTTGTTTACCCTTATAGATTCATAGTTTGCGTTTCGTTCCCTTGCCAGCATAAGTGTTTCCCCCCACTTACCCTGATACCGAGTCTTTGTAAGCGAGGATTCTGCTACACTACCCATGATTGGCATCAGCCGAGGCTCTCAATTCTTGGCGTTCTTCCCAAGCTATCTGAGAACTACACTGTTCCCATCGCACCGCCTCCTCATGACGCCTCGCCCGTGCGAAGCGTCGGCTATGTCTTTCCAGTCGCGCGGCCAACGTCACCTAGTGCTCATGAGCCACACCCGTCACTGGTTCTTGTTCCTCGCGGCGATGAAGGCAGCTCGAGGCCTTCTTCTGCGTCTCCTTCGACACTGAACAGCACGCCGGGCAAAAGGCCGCGGGTCGGGGTGAAATACACTCAGCAAAGGCTCTGGGGCGCCCCACCACCAAAGAAGGATGCATCACCAACGCGCACAAAAGCTCCTCCCGATCCCAAACCACCAACCGTCACCGCTGAAGCTGAGTACGCAGCGTACAAGCACAGGTATGACACTGAGTGGGCCGTGAAATTCGATTGGTTACTGCTATGTCGCCAGACCAACGGCAGACCTTCGTTGAAATGTAAGATCTGCGTTCAGTACGGGGATCCTACCGCACGCATTGTCTACGGCGCGAAGGGTGAGGGTGGCCGTGACTTGCAAATTGATACCATTCATGTTCACTCATCTACCCGAGCACATAAACAGGAGCTGGAACACCAGGCTCGATCACTTGCGGCTAAGGAGAAGCAAGTGACTTTAACAAGGTGGCAGGAGACGGATTCGTCTACTCGCCACATCATCCGCTGCCTGCATATCGCAATGTTCATCCTCAAGGCCGACGCCCCCATCGCTATGTTCGTCCCCCTGTGCTGGTTTCTCGCTAAGGAGGGTCTTCAAGATTTTCCCCCCAATGGTGGCTACGGTGCCTACTACGCAGAGTAAGTTGGTTGTGTTTTGTTTGAACTGCTTCAAGATTGAGTGTTATTGCAAGTATCTAACCCTCGTTCTTCATTGTTTGTGTTGCAGCTACGGTTTCAAGGAGTGCCTTCATGCGACATCCACGTACCTTCTAGAATCGCCATGGATCGCCCTGACGCTCGACGAAAGCACTGACCGCATCCACGGGAAACATCTCATCATTTACGTCACGTACATCAAGAACAGATCCGTCATCAATGAGTTTCTGACCTTGATAACCGTGGATCGCGCTGACGCTGCTTCTCTTACCTCCGCTGTTATGCAGTACCTGACCGGGATTGGTGTCGACCTGCAGAAAATAACAGGCATCGCGACCGATTGAGCCAGCGTAATGGTGGGGAAGAACAGTGGAGTGGTGGCCCGGCTCAGACTGCGGATACCTCACCTTGCGTCAACGCATTGCATCGCGCACCGGTAAGGTTGTTGTCTATGTTAGATAGTCTCACTTTATGTGCCATAACAGGATAGTAACTCATGTATTTTTGTGTGCATGCAGGGAGGCACTCGCTGCACGAGATGCCGCAGAAGCTGTGCCTGAGCTGAACATGGTGGACGATGTCGTCCGTGCTTTTTCCGAGCTCCTGGGGAGGAGCAGCGTGCAGTACCAGAAGTTTCAAAACTTTCAGCAAGTCTTCTGCAAGACGAATCTGGAGGCGCAAGGAATACACACCGTCCGTTGGCTGTCGCGTGGCGAGGCCGTTTCCCGGCTCCTAGAGGTCTTGCCGGCCGCCATCGTCGTGCTCCAAGAGTACCGCCCTGAATTGTACGAGGTGGTAACCTCGTTCAAGTTTCATTGGCTACTACGCTTTCTCGCTGATATCTTGTGGAAGTTGAACCACTTGAATCAGCGTTTCCAGCAGAGACAGGTAATGAGTTAAACACATATGAACTAGTGCAGTGCCCCTTACAACCCATCCTCGCTAACAATGTCGTTCTTGTCGCTGGACATCACGCTTGTTGAGCACCTCGTGGAGTAGACGCGGATGCGGCTGAAGACGCGGTACCTGAGCGCGGCCCCCGGTCACGTGTTTGGAAGCGGCGAGTACATGACTCTTCCTGACTTCTTCAAGAAGCACCAGAAGGAGGAAAACCGTGAGATGAAAGCTGAAGGCGTTCACTCTGAGGAGAATCCTGTGTCGTTCTCGTTCATCCTGCACGAGCGGTGGTTGAAAGGGCAAGAAACTGACGGCGACGTGATGACCTGCTACGAGCTCTCCTTGAAATTCGTCCGCGCGGTTGATGCGGAACTGGAGTGGCAAATGCGGGATCTTGCCAATCTGGAGGGGTCGAAGCTGTTCCGCACCGCCTCTTACCTCCCGGACAACGCCAAGCGAGCAGAGGCGTTCAAGCACTGGCTGGGCAAACTACACAAACTCTACCACGGGAAGCTGCCAGGTGAGCGGTGTTGTGTTGACTCGATCTGCGTTTTGATCATGCGTGTTGTTTGAATTTGTTTCACCATAAGCTGCCTGTCTTCGTCTGCGACTTTAGCCCTGTTTAACCCACACCCCGTACATCAGGCTTTGACTTCAACAAGGCGAGCAACGAACTGTGGATGTTCACATCCACATTGTTCAGCCAGCACAACGGGGAGGATTTCCACCAGGCGCTCTCGAACATGATGCGGGACGATGGATGGCAGCAGCCGTTCCCCAACATAATGAAGAAGTGGCAAGCCGTCGCTGTTCTGCCGCTGGGCACAGTAGAATGTGAACGCGTGTTCAGAAAGCAGAACCTTATCAAGACGTGGGGAGCCTCTCGGACACCAGCCTGGAGCACCTCATGCGCTGTTCTCTGGTGCAGTATGATGTGGACTGGTTTGAGGTGGCGGCCATCTTCAGGGGGAAGAAATTGCGTCGGTCAACAAAGGACTTCAGCGCCAGCAACGAGGTTGTACAGGGCAGTGTGCCTATGACAGAGTAGTAGATGTGGTAGTTGGCTTTGTGTGACCAGGATGAGGTGTATCGTTATGATTAGTGCAACGAAACCACATATTTGTATGTACGGGAGTTTGCAGTAACAATCAGTGTTGGGGACCTGGTTGCACTGACTAAAGCAGACTTGAACTTTTTGTAGACTGAACCCATCAGTGTACCAAAAATTCCACCCTAGACGTCAGAGTTGGGCACTGCTGGAGCTCTGATTTGTAAGGGTGAGCCTAAACCAATTTTGGGCCCTGTTTAGCATGGTACAATGGTGGACAACGCACGGCTCTGACCACCCCGAGATCACGACCCTTGCATGCCATGTTCTCTCTCAGCCCGTGTCTGCATCGACTTGCGATTGGAAGTGGCTAGAGTGGGATTCGGTGTGCACTAACCGGCGCAGGAGTTTGGGTTTTAATAAGTGTCGCGACATGGCATACATTGCGCACAACTGACCGGCGGTCAACAACAGGGGGGGAAGGTTCTCGAGGGGGGCTGGAGGTGGCAGCAGAGGACAGCCTTGACTCTCCAGTCTCTGCAGAGTATGATGATGAGGAGTCGGTAGAGGAGGAAGAGGAGGAAGAGGAGGAAGAGGAGGAAGAGGAAGAGGAGGAGGAAGAAGAGGAGGAGGAGGAAGAGGAGGAGGAAGAAGAGGAAGAGGAATATAGAAGCTGATTGGTCCTTCATCGATATAAGTGTGGGTGGTACAGCGCGGTTTGAATATTTAAGCATACTTTGACGGGCATGAGTAGCTATGGAACTCAATATAGTGAAGGGTCATAACTTACAAACGGGGGAGGTAAATAACGAATCTCGAAACAGCAACTACAGCAACCACATTGAGACAAAAAGGCGGAACTAGGTTCAGAGAAAATACAAACGATGCCACCCCGCACAGATAGCAGACAAAAACCACCACTTGCTGCAATACTGTTGGCTTGAAAGGAAGGGTGGGGGAGTTCTGGGAGGAGCAGGGCGGTGGAGTGACTATAAGCAGTAGTGATGCTATGGAGGGCAGGATGTCTTGGAAAGGGGCCATGGATAGTGATGCTTGCATGGGATGGGGGCAGGAGGCGGGAGAAGTGAGTGGAGGTGAGAGAAAGAGAGGAGAGGAGAGAAAATGAGATGATGGTTCCAACTTCCAAGTGCCTCGAAAGTGGGAAATCGGCCTAAACCCTAAACTCTCTCTCTCTCTCTCTCTCTCTCTCTCTCTCTCTCTCTCTCTCTCTCTCTCTCTCTCTCTCTCTCTCTCTCTCTCTCTCTCTCTCTCTCTCTCTCTCTCTCTCTCTCTCTCTCTCTGTGTGTGTGTGTGTGTGTGTGTGTGTGTACCTGTGTGTGTGTGTGTGTGTGTGTGTGTGTGTGTTTGTGTGTGTAGGTGCGTGTGTGCTTGCATGCATGTGTGCGTTCATGCGTGTGTGTGTGTGTGTGTGTGCGCGCGCGCACGTACGCACGCAAGCACACACATGCAAACAGACCTTGGCGTGTAGGAGAGCAATGAAGGGAGGCAGGTGGAAGATGGCAGTGACAAGCAGCAGGAGGGCATCGGCCAGAAGGAGCTCTGATACCACTGAAAGAGAAGTCCTGTGATTGGTGGATAGCAACAGGCATGATACCGGTAGTGGACAAGGAATATTCTGTTTGGAATCCTAGTTGAACTCATGAGTTGTGAAAGTACCAAGTCGACTCAACAGCAGGCACGATAGTGGATGGACACCACGACGACTTTTGAGACGTCTCAAAAATGGACACCACAACGAATCTGTCAAACTCTATCTGAGCTAGTTCTGTGTAGGCTATAGTGGGGTAGCCCATATGGGGTACAACCCAAAGTTAGGGTTAGTACTTGTACCCACATTTCATTCAATGCACTCATTCCTGCTTGTTATCTTGACATAGTTTCAGAGCAGTAGGTGCGTAGGACTGTTTTTTTTCGGGCCCACCATTCTTAGCAACCGCTTGCGGTTACCGTGTTACCCCACTACCTGCCCCGCGTCGCGCTGCCCCGCGCACGCCCTGCCCTGCCCCGCGTCGCGCTGCCCCGCGCACGCCCGGCCCTACCCTGCGTCGCGCTGCCCGCGCACGCCCTGCCCTGCCCCGCGTCGCGCTGCCCCGCGCACGCCCTGCCCTGCCCCGCGTCGCGCTGCCCCGCGCACGCCCTGCCCTGCCCTGCGTCGCGCTGCCCCGCGCACGCCCTGCCCTGCCCCGCGTCGCGCTGCCCCGCGCACGCCCTGCCCTGCCCCGCGTCGCGCTGCCCCGCGCACGCCCTGCCCTACGCGTCGCGCCCTAAGGCAGCCCGTCCCATCACGCTCTGCTGCCCCGCGCGTCGCGCCCTGCTGCAGCCCGCGCGTCGCGCCCTACGGCAGCCCGCGCGTCGCGCTCTGCTGCCCCGCGCGTCGCGCTCTGCTGCCTAGCGCGTCGCGCCCTGCTGCCCCGCGCGTCGCGCCCTACGGCAGCCCGCGCGTCGCGCTCTGCTGCCCCGCGCGTCGCGCCCTGCTGCAGCCCGCGCGTCGCGCCCTGCTGCCCCGTGCGTCGCGCACTTCTGCAGCTTGCGCGTCGCGCCCTGCTGCAGCCCGCGCGTCGCGCCCTGCTGCCCTGCACGGCGCGCACCCTGCTGCCCGCGCCGCCCAGGCCAAGCCGCGCCGCCCAGCCCGAGCTGCCCTGCCCTAACCGATCCGCCCTGCTGCTCGTGCTACTGCTGCTGCTGGTGGAGGTGCTGCTAGGAGTGCTGGAGATGCTGCAGCCTAGCCTCACCGAGCCGCTCTGCTGCTCTTACTGCTGCCAATGCTACGCGTGCTCCTGCCTTCACTCCGTACTGCCCTGGAGGTCGCGCTCCTCCTAGCTTGCACGCTATGACATCACTTCGTAGTAGCGGAGGGAGTGGTGACGGCGGTGGTGGCCGCAGTGGGAGTGGTGGCGGCCGTAGGAGCAGTCACTGTGGAGCTGTTCGGTGCGGAGTTTCTGGCGGTGGCCAGATGCAGCTACTGCGGCGTCCGACCCTTACGCCCCAGCAGCTTCGTGAGTGGTTATACCAGCGTGGGGGGTCTCCGCGTACTGCTCGCTGCCCGTACGTCATTCGCACAGGTCGTCGGGCTGGTCAGACCTGTGGGACACCTGGTCACGCACAGTCCCGCTGCTTCTCCTATTTGAGTGACGCCTGGCACGCAGAGTTTGGCGACGAGGCTGAGCTCCCCCACTGGATTGAGCTGCTTAGGTCGGGCGTTGATGTCTTTGCTTTAGACGATGACGCCATCCAGATTGCCATGTATGCTTTGCCTAGTGGTGCTGAGGGTGACTGTTACCTGTGTGTGCAGCACGACCCCGGTATAGAGGCTGCTGCTCTAGGTGCTAGTGAGGCTGCTGCCTTAGGTGCTAGTGAGTCTGCTCTCTCTGGTACTGCGCCTGCTGAGGCTTTGCACACCTTCACGCTTGACTCAGGTGCTTCCCGCTGTTTCTTTCGCGACAGTACAGCCCTCACACCACTCCCTGCACCTGTTGCAGTGTCTCTGGCTGACCCCTCAGGGGGCCCGGTCCTTGCACGGTCCACCACTAAGCTTCCGTGCCCGGCGGTTCCGTCTGGCTCACTGTCAGGTCTTCACCTCCCCTCGTTCTCTACGAACTTGGTGAGCAACGCAGTTCTCCAGGACCAGTGGGTTGACACCTTTACCCCTGGAGGACAGCGTGTGGCGATCTGTACGTGCTCCAAGACTGGCCGTCACCTGGCCACGTTCACTCGTCGGCCAAGATCGAGTCTTTACACACTGACGACTGTGTCTCCTCAGGTCGCTGCTGTCGGTCAGGTGTCTGCGTCAGGTCTGGTAGCCTCCCCTTGTGAGTGTCGCTCCCTGTCGCACCAGACTCTTCTCTGGCACCACCGTCTGGGTCACCCCTCCTTGCCACGTCTACGTGGCATGCACCGTCGCCTCCTTGTGTCCGGTCTTCCCAGGTCTCTCCCTCCCCTCCCTGCCTCGCCTGCGCTGCCCTGCCTTCCTTGCGTCGAGGAGCGGCAGCGCGCCGCTCCTCACTCCTCCTCGTTTCCCCCGACAGAGGCTCCCTTACAGACCCTCCACCTGGACGTGTGGGGCCCAGCCCGCGTTCGTGGACAGGGCGGTGAGCGGTACTTTTTGCTGGTTGTCGACGACTACTCGCGTTACACCACGGTCTTCCTCTTGCGCACCAAGGGTGAGGTCCCTGCTGTCCTGATCCCTTGGATCCGAGCAGTTCGTCTCCAGCTCCGCCGGAGGTTTTGAACGGACCTTCCTGTCCTGCGTCTGCACTCTGACAGAGGTGGTGAGTTCACCTCCGACCTCTTGCGGGCCTTCTGTCAGGGGGAGGGCATCGAGCAGTCGTTCACGCTTCCGGGCTCACCACAGCAAAATGGGGTTGCTGAGCGCCGCATTGGCTTGGTCATGGAGATCGCTCGTACCTTCTTGATCCATGCAGCGGCTCCCAATTTTCTGTGACTGTTTGCGGTTCGATACGTCGCGCATCAGCTCAACCTCTGGCCCCGTGTCTCCTTGCAAGACACCTCACCCACACTGCGTTGGATGGGAGAGGTTGGCGATGCGTCGCGTTTCCGAGTCTGGGGTGCTCGTGCCCTTGTCCGCGATACGTCCGCGGACAAGCTCTCCTCCCGCACCATTCCCTGTGTCTTCCTTGGCTTTGTCCCTGACGCGCCTGGCTGGTAGTTTTACCACCCCACCTCGCGCCGTGTCTTCCCCTCCCAGGACGTCACCTTTGACGAGTCGGTTCCTTTCTACCGTCTCTTTCCCTACCGCACTGCCCCTCTCCCTCCCCCGCCGCTTTTCCTCGCTCCAGGTCCCCCTCCGGTAGACCCCCTCCCCCCTCAGGGTCCTGCTCCTTCAGGTGTGTCTCAGGTAGACCCACTCCCCTTGGCTGAGCCTTTGGAGGTCACTTCCGACACCTCTGGCCCAGCTGAGGGGGGTGACGTTGCTGCTGACGCCCCGGCGGCCTACCGCCGCACACCACGCTTGGAGACCCCTCCGGGTTTCCCGCCGCGACCGTCTTCGCCGCCTCTGTAGCCAGTTACGGTTGACTCTGGTGCTGCTGGGAGTGGTGCTACTCAAGGTGCTGCGTCTGGGGGTGCTGAGCCTGTGCGTGAGGTGCTGGGGGGTGTGGAGCCTGGGGGTGCTGAGCCTACGAGTGCGGAGCCTGAGGGTGCTGAGCTGGAGGGTGCCGGGTCGGGGGGTATTGAGTCAGCTGGCGTTCCTCCGGGTCTCGTTTCCCGGCGGGGACCTCTCTCACCACAGCAGCTACGAGAGTGGCTTGCGTGGCGTACCCGCCTGAGGAGTCGTGTTGCTGGAGCTGGAGGTCCTGCTGCTGGAGGTAAGGCTGCTCGAGGTGCTGCGGTGGGAGCTGCTGGTGCTACCCGTCGTGGACGCGCTGGGAGTGCTGGTGTTTCTGGTTCTGGAGGTGCTCGTACTGGAGGTACTGGAGCTGCCAGGACTGGTGGTGCTACTGGAGCTACTGGAGGTACTGGAGCTGCCGGAGCTGGTGGTGCTGCCAGTACTGGTGGTGCTGGTGGTGCTGGCGCTGCTGGTCCCGGGGGTGCTCGTACTGGCGGTACTGGACGTACTCTCTCACCTCAGCAGCTGCGCGAGTGGTACACTCAGCGCTACCGCCTTCGGAGTGGCGCTGCTGGAGCTGGAGGCCCTGGA